CGAAGGCTTCCGCGCCTATTATGCCATCCGCTTCTCCTTCAAAGTGTCCAACAACGAAGCCGAATATGAGGCCCTCCTATGTGGCCTTCGGCTAGCAGCAAATCTGAAGGCCAAAATGATCCACGTCAAGTGTTACTTTAAGCTCGTCGTGGGCTAGATCTCCGGAGAGTATGAGGCCAATGAAGGGAGGATGAAACAATACAAGGAAGCGGCTAAAGAATTGCTTAAGGTATTCGAGCCACATTCCCTCACTCAAATACCGAGGTCTCAAAACTCGGAGGCTGATACTCTCTCCAAGCTCTCGGCTGAATCCCCCGAACACCTCTCCAAGATCGCAAGAATCGAGGAGCTCAGCCTCTCGAGCATACATGTGAGCCCCATCATGGATATACATCTCAGGCCGGAGGACTGGATCTCTGACATCACCACCTTCATCACCACATGGCAACTTCCCGAGGATGAGGCCCGCGCCAAACTAGCAAAGCTGAGGGCTCCCAGCTACACCCTCGAGAGCAGAAGGCTTTACAAAAGATCCTACAACGGCACCCTCCTTCGGTGCCTTCATCAAGATGAAACCGAAGTTGCAATGGAGGAAGTACACAGCGGCACTTGCTCAGCTCACCAGGGACCCTTCTCCATGTCCCGAAGGCTCATTGTTCAGGGCTACTTCTGGCCCACCATGGCCCATGATTGTGCAAATCTTGCCCGAAGGTGTACCGCTTGCCAACACTTTCAGAAAGTCCCCGACAGGCCAGCGGTCAACTACACCCCCATCAGCACTGCTATACCCTTCTCTAGATGGGGTATTGATCCAGTAGGCCCTCTACTTAGGGGTACCTCCAACAACAGGTACATTATTATGGCCATTGACTACTTCACCAAATGGGTGGAAGCCGAGCCCCTCGCCAGCATCACTGAGGCCCGTTGCCGTCACTTTGTTCTCAAGAACATTCTTACAAGGTTTGGCGTCCCCCAACAGATCATCTCCGACAATGGCACTCAATTTGAGGCAGCCCCCTTTTGTGCCCTCTTAGAGGCATGGGGCATCAAACACACATTCTCTTCAGTTGCCTACCCTCAAGGCAACGAACAGGTGGAGAACGCCAACCGAACTTTGCTTGAGGGCCTGAAAAAGAAGCTTCAAGCCGAAGGGGGAGGCTGGGTAGAAGAGCTCCACAACATTCTATGGGCCTACCGCACCACCACTAGGCGTGCAACGGGTGAAACACCCTTCTCCCTATGCTATGGCTTTGAAGCTAAGGCTCCAACAAAAGTAACTCTACCCACCCGAAGGGTGGAGGAATATGAACCTGAGGTCAACGACGCCAATATGGCCCTTGACCTTCACCTCATCTCAGAACGCCGAGAGCAAGCCTTCCTCAGGGCGGAGAACTATCGACGACAAGTAAAAGGCTACATCGATGCCAAGGTCCGCTCCCGAGAATTTCAAGTGGGGGACTACGTCCTCCGGCGAAGGGAGGCTAGCCTACCAACCGAAGGGGGGAAAATGGCCGCTAAATTCGAAAGCCCCTACATCGTCACAGCCATCATCAAACCTGGGACGTACAAGCTAAAACGCCCCAATGGGACAGAGGTCCCTAAACATTGGAATGTACACCACCTTGTCAAATTCTATCAATGAACATGAGTGGCCAAGCCCTCATCCTCTACAAGTATACATGATCAGCGGCCCAAGGCCCCATTCATTTTGTAAAAGTGGTTAAAGGGTCCCTCATCACTTATATATTTCATAAGCGGCCCAAGGCCCCCTTCTCTTCAAATATGAGTGGCCAAGCCCTCATCACTCGTTTACACGGCCCAAGGCCCCTTCCTCTCATTAGGAGGAATAGATATAACAAAGTACCCAGTACAAGGTGCGCAAATACGCCCACCATTCATAAAAACACCAAGTGTTTTTTACTAAGTCGTACCCCACGAGGACGCCCTCATGCATACATTATGCATATTCATACATACCCTCCATAAAAAAACGGGGGGTGCAATACCCCTCGGCTCCGACAAGTACCGAGTACCCCCGGCCATTTGTGTTTCACACACAAATAAAACCCTTCCCTGAAACGCTTTCCGCGCCATCCCCCAAGGGGAGGCAGGCAACGGACCATGTCCCGGGCCCAGGATTCGACTTTCACAAACGAAACGCTCCCCGCGCTATCCCTGAAGGGGAAGCAGGCAACAGACCATGTCTCGGGCTGAGGGGACGACTTTCAAAACCGAGGCACTTTCCGCGCTATCCCCCAAGGGGAAGCAAGCAACAGACGATGTCTCGGGCCAAGGAAACGACCCTCAAACCCTTCGGGATCTCGGAAGGTCAATCCCGAAGGGGGAGCCAACGGTTTATTCCGTTGCCTCCCATATAGGTCAAGCCTTTCCTAGAAACCAAGTTTCTTGATGCCCCTCCTACAGCATATAAAAACTAGATAAAAATAAAAAAGAGAGAGAAATGCGTAGGGGGGAAGGAACTCCCCGTATACTATTTTCCTCGGAGGCTCAACAACAATCTGGAGATACGTTCCCGAAGGCTCTTTCAAAGATACAAAGGAATCCCTCAACACAAAGTCATTCGGCTGCTCGCTCGAAGGCTCCACTACATGAAGTCTTTAAGTATAAGGGATTCCTCTGAGGCTCTAAACGAAGGGTCACCAGCAAAACTTTACCAAAATTTGGCTAAGTCCGAAATTTGGCTAAGTCGAAGGCTCAACACTACTCAACGAGAACCTACAACAGTACAACTACACTGCAAGTCGAAGGCTCAACACTACCGATGACCTAGGGTGAAGTTTGCTTGAAAAGTTTTCTAAGTCTAATATATTTTTAGCTCTCGGTCTTACTCTACGACCGAAGACTTACGTTCTACACTAAAGCCGAAGGCTTTTGGCCAAGTTCTCACTTAGAAAATTTTCTAAGTCCACAATCTGGAACCCTTCGGCGGGAACCACGGACTTCACTGCTGCCAACAAGCTTCTAGCCGAAAGCAACGCCGAACTACTCAATTGGGGGCCTAAGGCTACATCACGAATCAAAGGCTCAACATGGCCGAGGGCCTAAAGTGTAATTTCACTTGGGAAATTTTCTAAGTCTAATTCATTTTAGCCCCCGATAATTTCATGGACAAAGGCAAAGACATACGTCAAACAAGGATGGCCGAGAACATGGAAGTTACTTGGTCTCAGAAAATTTTCTAAGTCCACAAATTCCTAGCCTTCGAACAGACATATCAAAGCATACATAAGAAAGGACGAAGGCATGCACTCATTCGAGTAGCTCGAAGGCATGGCAACTGTTGTCACTTAGAAAATTTTCTAAGTCCACAACCACAAGCCCCCGGTGATGCTAAAATATAACCGAAGGCTTGTTGTCAAATTACTACTTAGAAAATTTTCTAAGTCCACAAACTCTTGGCCCTCTTCTAAGTGATATATTACATATTACATATAGCTAAGAACACATATATGGCCCTCTTAGGAAAGGGTCTGGCCTCATATTACATATAGTTAACAACCTCAGTGCTAAGAACACATACAACTACAAATTTGGATCTTCTACATTACGATTTACGAACACATACATTTACGAAATAAGAAATAATTTTTCTATACCTGCTTATTTAGGTATTCTCTATCACCATTCGACCTTCATTAATATTCCTTCAGTCTTCGCCCTACTCTTCTTCCTTAGATCTTCGTCGTCGTTCAACTTTCATCATTGTTCATCGTCACTTCTCACTCTGGTTTTTGAATTGCAGATGTTGGCTTACACCTTTGTTCAATACCTCCAAACATGTATTCCTTCCTATGTGTAATTTCATTTTGTTTCGGCCGCGTCAAACAATATTTGGCTTATCGGATGACTAGGCTTTTAAATGTCAACTAACCGGCCAAACATTAATTTTGGACGATTTTAATGAGCTCATGCTCAGATTGGCCTTTTTGGGTTCAAGTATGGAATTGAGCAATTAATATGGATACAAGGGTCTATTTGACCATTTAGCCAACATTTTTTGAGCTTTCTCATAATTTCCGGGTCATTACTGACATGTATACACTGTTTTTACATGCCACACAAACAATTTTTATAATGAGTGACGAATTGTCTGTGTACATAAATAACAAGAGGATCACATACAAAAAATATTTCGTATTTTTGAGGAATGGCAAACAGTTTTTTATTTTTTGGAAACAAAAATCAAATAGACCATTTTACTATTTTCAATCTATCACTTAAGTCTTTCTACTAAAGAAAACATCACGTAAGTATGCTTACTTAGTTACTTCTGGAAACAAAAATCAAATAGACCATTTTACTATTTTCAATCTATCACTTAAGTCTTTCTACTAAAGAAAACATCATGTAAGTATGCTTACTTCTTAAATACAATCGGTCAAGTTATTTTGGCCTTCTATAACATTTAATTATTTTTTAAAGTAATTAGGAATATTGACAAATCTTATAAAAATTCATATAAATTTGAATATTAATGTAATAATAATATAAAATAGTATAAATGTAAAAACAAATAAATAATGCAAAAAAACTAAAATTAAAAACCAGAAAACTAAAAAAGTAGTGAAAATGTAAAAAATAAAAAATGTAAAATGTAACAATCTTTTAAATAGATGTAGAATGTACAAATAATTACAAATTTTCAAAATATTGATTTTGACATTTTGAATTTTATCACATTTTTTATCTATATTTATTCAAATTTTAACATTTTTTTAATTATAAAAAGTCTGCTATAAGAGGAAAAACTGAATGAATTGCTAAATTGTTCGATTTTTTAAATTAAGTGCACTTATATGATACTTTTTTCAATACACGAGCCTAAGTGATAATTTGAAAATAATAGAAAATTTATTTGACTATTTTCTGTTATGGTAAATTTACCATCAAATAAGAGAACAAATATTATGACAGACTAAAAAGTTGAGCAAAATAAAGAAAGTTGAGCTACAACAGCATCAAACACATTTCTTACACAACACTGATACTAGTATACTACGTTTTTTTTTTTTTGCTTATTATAGAGCGGAAGTGGATGGTGGGCCGGTGAGGAGCTTGAGGTGGCAAAGCTCAGTCAAGCCAGTTAAGCTCGAAGGGGAAAATCAGGTGTACGCCACAGTTTAGCTTCTCTGGATAGTCTGTCGGTGGTCATTCTCGCTCTACCTCGTCGTCCTCTGTATCTCTGAAGAACCCAAGTCACTGCCGACCATTCCTGCAAACTCTTATCTCCCTCTAGAAAATCAAGGAACTCTCTGTTCCCGTTCTTATTTCTTCTTCATTTCCACTATCCACCTGCTTGAGATCTCTCTCCAATGTTAAAGTAGTGCACTCCCGTTACATAATATTCTATTCTAAGGTATGTCTGCCCCATGTTTGTATTGGAAATGAATGTTACAGGCTTACCAGTTCCCAATTTCCAAAGATCTCATTTCCCCCAATTCACATTATAAGTTTTCTGCTAAATCTCTGTTTAGTGTTAAACCAATTCTGGATTCTTTAATTGGAGAAAAGGTGCAACCTTTGATGGTAATTTATTGATGAAAGCAAAAGTTTCTGACTGTATAGTGTGGCTTTATACTCTGGGCTTAAAATCTTAATTCTTAAATGCCTCCGTTGCAGTAAAAGTTGACACAGAAGCTGTTAGCTTTTGAGTGTATATTGGAGGCTGGATCTGAAGTGAAGATCTTGAGATCACAGGGAAGCTGGCAGCCACACTGGCATGGAGGCATGCTGCCAGCAGTGGCAGCAGCAGCCTTCCTAGTAACGATCTGGTATTATTTCAATCAATAATCTACTATATTCACCAGAAGGTTTGGTTAACTATTGCATCTGAGCTCTGCAATTTTGATTTCCTATCATTCTCCATACCCTGTTTCAATCTACGTAGCTGCCTACTTGGCTATGGCTTCTTGTGGCAATTATTTTCAAATTCTTATGGTAAACATCATGTTGCTGCTACATAAGGGAAAAAAAGATCTTCATATAGTTTTGGCGCAAATTCTGCTAGACATGATAATACACATAGTCTTCATGCTGCATTGTTTTGTGGATAAAAACCAGTATTTATTAAAAAGAGATGCAGTTATATACATAGTACTGCTGATGATATTGCGATTCACCACTGATTTCGGTAGTCCATGATACCATATTTTTGTTCATCTGTCATATTATATGCTCTGCTGTCTGATCCAAACATTTCTCATGATGAAAAAATCTTTACTGACTCCGCTCTCAGGAAAGAAATAAAGACAGCAAGCATTATGGCCTGGACCACCCAGCTCCACATTCTCTCATGAAAATGGGTTCAAGGTCAGTCCACTCTTATTAGATGAATTTCTTCTTAGAGGAGTATATCACTATACACATTCTATAGACTGGGTTTTCATGTGGCCGTGCTTTTCACGGTTTCACCTACTGAAGTAGGCAGAAACATCTATTTTCTGGCAGGTTTCTGTTTAACTTGTATATTTATAGCATTATGATTTGATTGAGAAATAGAGTTTTCCAAATTGATGTCAATATATGAGATAATTAGTAATTGCTTTGCATCAGGAAACATGTGCGTTTTGTTTGTTTAGTTTTCTTCACTTTTGCGAGAAATTTTTCATTCCCCATTTCTTTATTAGAGTAGGAAAACATACACACCATATGTAGTGCTTGAATATTTCCATTTTATCATTCGTCTCTCATTCACTTTTTAACCCCAATTCTTCTTAGAGGATGTTAACTTGCTGAGACACTCAACCTGAAACAAAAGAAATTAACAACACATTAACACACTTGGTTGAATGGGGGGATTTCACTTATTTTTTCCCAATAGCAAACCATACCTCTGTGTGGTTGATCCATTTTTCTCGTAATTTGGCGACGTTTTCCTCAACTTTGAGCAATAGTTTTTCACTTTTTCCTATGACCCCCCTTCGTATTATTTTTTCTTGCATTATGAGGGAAGAAAAAGGGACACGCATGGACAAATGCCAAACCAGAAATTAGCATTGATATTTTTTAAAATTAATAGTATGAACGTTTTTATTCTTTATACTGTTTATTCACACGTCATTCCAAAGAAAGTGTAAACACTGAAATAAGTTTTCATAGTAATTTTATTCCCACCAACCAATATTTCACATGCCAATATACATTCTTTTCCCAAGAAATAAATACTCCTCTCCTCCATATATTCCCACTTGACACCAAACATCTCATAAAAAAAGGTTTCAACAATGTAGAACTTTTTGTTAACGAAAAGAATTATGTGACTCCTAAATCCCAATATACACATTTTATTGATCTCATGCTCCTCGTACTTTCTGGGTATTTAAACTACAAGCTAACCTATAAGAACCTCCATTGGTTATATATGTACAGAGATCGTAGTAACATGGAGGATCCAGATGGGACATTAGCAAGTGTTGCTCAGCTGATTGAGAAATTGCGCAAGAACTCAGCCTCCACGCAAGAAAAAGAGACACTGTTGAAACAATTGTCGGAGCTTATTGATACACGTGAAAATGCATTCAGTGCTGTTGGGTCACATTCCCAGGCAGTGCCAGTGCTTGTTTCTTTACTTCGATCTGGTTCATTTGGGGTAAAGATGCAGGCAGCCACTGTTTTGGGCTCTTTGTGCAAAGAAAATGAATTACGAGTAAAAGTGCTGCTTGGAGGTTGTATTCCTCCATTGTTAGGCCTTCTCAAGTCAAGCTCAACAGAAGGTCAAATTGCAGCAGCAAAGACTATATATGCCGTGTCTCAAGGTGGTATTAAGGACCATGTTGGCTCAAAGATCTTTTCAACTGAAGGAGTTGTGCCAGTATTGTGGCAACAGTTACAGAAGGGTCTTAAAGGTGAAAACTTGGTTGATGATTTGATCACAGGCAGTTTAAAAAACCTTTGTACCAGCACAGAGGGTTTCTGGTCTGCAACGGATCAAGCTGGAGGTGTGGATATACTTGTCAAACTGCTAGCTACCGGACAATCCAGCACTCAAGCAAATGTATGCTTTCTTCTTGCATCTATCATGATGGAAGACTCATCTGTCTGCTCTAAAATATTGGCTTCAGATGTCACAAAACAACTGCTTAAATTACTTGGGCCTAGCAATGAAGCTTCTGTTAGGGCAGAATCTGCCGGGGCTCTCAAATCTCTTTCTGCTCAATCCAAAGAGGCCCGACGGGAGATAGCAAATTTGAATGGCATCCCTGTACTAATAAATGCTACTATAGCACCTTCAAAGGAATTCATGCAGGGTGAACATGCTCAAGCTTTGCAGGAGCACGCAATGTGCGCTCTTGCTAACATTTCAGGTGGCTTGTCATATGTGATATCAAGTCTTGGCCAAAGCCTTGAATCATGCACCTCATCTGCACAGGTTGCTGATACATTAGGGGCCTTAGCTTCGGCTCTTATGATATACGATAACAAAGCAGAAAGTTCAAGAGCTTCTGATCCTTTGGAGGTGGAACACACACTGGTTAAACAGTTTAAGCCTCAGTTGCCACCACTGGTGCAAGAGCGTACCATTGAAGCTCTTGCTAGTTTATATGGGAACATTATTCTCTCCAAAAAGCTTGCAAATTCTGATGCAAAGCGGCTACTGATTGGTCTGATCACAATGGCTACTAATGAAGTTCAAGGAGAATTGATAAGGTCCCTTCTCATCCTTTGCAAAAATGAAGGATCACTATGGCATGCCCTTCAAGGCCGCGAAGGGATTCAACTACTGATTTCTCTCCTTGGGCTCTCATCGGAGCAGCAACAGGAGTGTGCTGTTGCTTTACTATGTCTTCTTTCAGACGAGAATGATGAGAGTAAATGGGCCATCACCGCAGCTGGAGGCATTCCCCCACTTGTGCAGATTCTAGAAACAGGATCTTCCAAAGCCAAAGAGGACTCTGTAACCATTCTTGGAAACCTTTGCAATCACAGTGAAGATATTCGGGAATGTGTTGAGAGTGCTGATGCTGTTCCTGCTTTGTTATGGTTGCTGAAGAATGGGAGCTCCAATGGTAAAGAAATTGCGGCCAAGACATTGAACCATTTGATTCATAAATCGGATACTGCCACCATAAGCCAACTCACTGCACTTTTAGCTAGTGATCTTCCGGAGTCTAAAGTCTATGTCTTAGCTGCATTGAGAAGTTTGCTTTCCATGGTACCTATTAGTGATATTTTGCGTGAAGGTAGTGCAGCAAACGATGCAATTGAGATGATGATAAAGCTCATAAGCTTTGCTAAGGAAGAGACTCAGGCCAAATCTGCATCAGCACTTGCTGGAATCTTCAATCTCAGGAAAGACTTGCGTGAAAGTAACCTTGCTATGAGAACTCTCTGTTCACTATCTGAGCTTCTAAATGTGGAGTCTAAAGCCATCTTAGTTGAAGTGTGTCGTTGTCTTGCTGCAATATTTCTCTCGATTAGAGAGAACCGTGATGTTGCTGCAGTTGCTAGAGATAAGTTGCCTTCACTGGTGGCTCTTGCTAGTTCTTCAGCTTTGCCTGTAGCGGAGCAAGCGATATGTGCTTTAGCAAATCTTCTTTTGGACCGTGAAGCCTCTGAAAGAGCTTTTCCTGAAGAAATCATCTTGCATGCCACTAGAGTTCTGCGTGAAGGCTCAACTGATGGACAGACCCATGCTGCCTCTGCAATTGCTCGACTTCTCCAGTCTCAGAAGGTTGATTCGGAAATAACTGACTGTGTCAATCGTAATGGGACGGTTCTTGCTTTGGTCTATTTTCTTGAATCCACTACGGGTGGACCTATTGCTATATCGGAAGCATTAGATGCCCTTTGTTATCTTTCAGGGTTGGAAGGACATATTAGACCTGCCTGGGCAGTTCTTGCAGAGTACACAGATGGCATTATACCAATCGTCTCATGTATTTCTGATTCTAGTCCCTTGTTGCAAGACAAAGCTATCAGAATATTATCATGGCTCAGCCAAGCTCAGCCGAATGTTCTAGGAGAAACAATTGCATGTGCTTCTGGATGCATATCCTCGATCGTACAAAGGGTAATCAACTCCTCAAATGCAAGAGTAAAAATTGGAGGAACTGCTCTCCTTATATGTACTACAAAAGTGAACCACCAAAGAGTGATTGAGGATCTAAATGAATCCCATTTACGAGTTCCACTGATTCAGTCACTTGTAGGCATGCTGAACCCCGAGTCTTCTCAGTTGCATGCAGATCAAGGGGACAAAGTTGCAATAAACATATTCAGGAATACTTTAGACGAATCAAAAAAGGATGAAACGGAGAGAAGTACTTCAGTTATCTATGGTACGGATATAGCTATATGGCTACTCTCTGTTCTTGCTACCCGTGATGACCAAAGCAAAGTTGACATTTTGGAGGCTGGTGGAATTGACTCTCTTACTGAAAGAATATCTCAATCTCTGTCCCAGTTTACTCAGGTACTTCCTCTGTTCTTAAATAATTGCAATCCTTTTTTGCCAGTTTCAATATAACTGCAACAAATAGCCAAAATAACTACAATACCCTTGCACCTGTTTAACAAATCCAACTCAGCACAAATGATATCTCTAGTAACTCCACCGTCCCAATTCCCCAAATCCTCCATTTTCACCTCCGCGCCCGCCCTTCATCTTTCCCATTTCCTTTTATTTCTCAACCCTCCTTCCATCACGACCATCCCTTTCTCTTCCACCCTCTCTCCATTCTCTTCTTTCATTTCTTTCCTTTACTATCTTCTTCCTTTTCATCTCTTTTCCTTGCTCTAATTTGGAGTTTCAGCCAACAACCCTGATCTGCGATTACATACATTTTCTTGCTCTGGCTATTCTTGTCAAAATCTCACTGATTAACACATTATGAAACATGGATTTCGGGAGGAGCTCTCACATTCGATGCATCGAAATAGTGAGAAGTAGTTGAACCGGCAAATCAGCAAACATTATAGGAGTTCATTTTTTTTTAAATAGTAAAAAATTGTTAATGAAATCAGGGAGCCGTTTACAAAACTGTTAAACTAGATGTTGTAGAGAGCTGTTACAAGGACAAAGAAGGAATAGTAAGCAAAATAGAAATTGTACTAAGAGGAAGAGAATGGAGTTTGGTTATCAGGAAATTTGTCAGCTGGCATCATGTGACTAGGATGAGTGACTTTTCTTAGCCTTGTAAATGTGGAAAAATAGGAAGAGAAAAACTTTGTCAAAATTCTTAATGTTGCATTACTTGCATCTATTACTTAACGGGGGATAGTATTTGCAAATGCTTCTATTTGATTGTCTGTTTATATGACTTGTCCCATTGCCCAACTTATCAAAGCGAGACTAATAAATTTTTATTCCACGCTACTGATTCCCTCATTGGCAAAACTCTGCAGATTGATTTCAAAGAAGATAGTAGCATATGGGTTTGTGCATTGCCGCTGGCAGTCTTATTCCTAGATAGAGACATCATCAGGGAACATGTCACAGTGAAAGCTATACCGGTGCTAGCTAATTTACTTAAGTCAGAGGAGTCAGCCAATAGGTATTTTGCTGCACAAGCAATCGCCAGTCTTGTCTGTAATGGTAGCAGGGGAACTCTTCTTTCTGTTGCAAATTCAGGGGCAGCGGCAGGTCTTATTTCATTGCTTGGCTGTGCAGATGATGACATCAGTGACCTCATTGAACTCTCAGAGAAGTTTGCTTTGTTGCGTAATCCAGAGCAAGTAGCTCTTGAAAGATTGTTTCGGGTTGATGACATTAGGGTTGGGGCAACTTCTAGAAAAGCTATACCAGCACTTGTTGATCTGCTGAAGCCAATCCCAGATCGCCCCTGTGCACCTTTTTTGGCTCTTGGACTTCTGATACAGCTGGCTAAAGAATGCCCTCCAAACAAGATTTTAATGGTAGAATGTGGAGCTATTGAAGCATTGACTAAGTATTTGTCACTTGGACCTCAAGATGCAACAGAGGAAGCAGCAACTGATTTATTGGGAATCCTATTCAGTACCGCTGAAATCCGGAGACACGAATCTGCATTTGGAGCTGTTAGTCAGCTTATAGCTGTCTTACGTTTGGGAGGAAGGGCAGCGAGGTATAGTGCTGCCAAAGCCTTAGAGAACCTGTTCTCAGCAGATCACATAAGAAATTCAGAATCCGTTAGACATTCTGTTAAACCTTTGGTAGAGATTCTAAGCTCTGGCCTTGAGAAGGAGCAACATGCTGCTATTGCTGCATTAGTCCGGTTGCTCAGTGAAAATCCATCAAGAGCTCTTGCCGTTGCAGATGTTGAGATGAATGCTGTAGATGTTTTATGCAGGATTCTCTCATCAAATTGCTCTATGGAGCTGAAGGGGGATGCAGCGGAGTTATGCTCTGTTCTTTTCACTAGTACAAGAATAAGATCTACAATTGCCGCAGCTCGCTGTGTGGAGCCCTTGGTTTCTCTTCTGGTCACTGAATTCAGTCCGGCTCATCATTCGGTTGTTCACGCTTTAGACAAACTGGTGGATGATGAACAGCTAGCAGAACTAGTTGCCGCACATGGAGCTGTTATACCCCTCGTAGGTCTTCTCTATGGTCAGAATTTTATGCTTCACGAGGCTATTTCTAGGACTCTCGTGAAGTTGGGGAAAGACAGGCCTTCATGTAAGCTAGAAATGGTAAAATCAGGGGTAATCGAGAGTGTACTTGATATTCTCCATGAAGCACCAAATTTCCTATGTGCTGCGTTTGCTGAATTGCTAAGAATACTGACTAACAATGCAGCGATTGCCAAGGGACCATCTGCAGCAAAAGTGGTTGTGCCTCTTTTCTTGTTGCTGACTGTACCGGAGTTTGGACACGACGGACAACACAGTGCTCTTCAGGTTCTTGTGAACATCTTAGAACATCCACAATGCCGTGCTGATCATGCATTGTCATCCCATCAAGCCATTGAACCTCTGATACCTTTACTTGATTCTCCTGCTTCTGCCGTTCAACAGTTGGCAGCTGAGCTCCTGTCTCTTCTTCTTGTGGAGGAGCATCTTCAAAAAGATCCCGTCACACAACAAGTCATTGGGCCTTTAGTTAGAGTGCTCGGTTCTGATATACCCATTCTGCAGCAGAGAGCTGTGAAGGCTCTTGTTTGTGTTTCGGTAACATGGCCCAATGAGATTGCCAAAGAAGGCGGTGTAAGTGAGCTTTCAAAAGTGCTGTTGAATGCTGATCCTTTGCTTCCCAATGCTTTATGGGAATCAGCTGCTTCTGTCCTAGCCTGCATCTTGCAGTTTAGCTCTGAGTTTTTCTTGGAAGTCCCTGTAGCAGTTTTGGTGAGATTGCTTCGTTCAGGCTTAGAAAGCACCATACTTGGTGCCTTGAATGCCCTGCTCGTGTTGGAAAGCGATGACTCCACCAGTGCTGAAGCAATGGCTGAAAGTGGGGCAATCGAAGCTCTTTTGGAACTTCTCCGATGCCATATATGCGAGGAAACCGCTGCTAGGCTTCTTGAGGTGTTGCTTAACAATGTGAAGATCAGAGACACAAAGGCTACGAAGGCAGCTATTCTACCACTGTCACAATACCTCTTGGACCCACAAACCCAAGGTCAGCAAGCGAGGTTATTGGCGACACTTGCCCTTGGCGATCTATTCCAGAACGAGTCGCTTGCTAGGACATCAGATGCTGTTTCTGCTTGTCGGGCATTGGTTAATCTGCTAGAGGATCAGCCTACTGAAGAAATGAAAGTCGTGTCAATATGTGCTCTACAGAACCTTGTTATGTACAGCCGATCAAATAAAAGAGCCGTTGCGGAAGCTGGAGGTGTTCAGGTTGTGCTTGATATTATTGGGTCAAGTGATCCAGATACATCAGTACAGGCAGCGATGTTTATTAAGCTTCTCTTCTCAAACAACACTATTCAAGAATATGCTTCGGGCGAGACTGTCAGGGCCATAACTGGTAAGTTTTTTCAGCAGGGATGTTGATTTGGTTCATTACTTAACTATTATTGTTATTTATTAACTGGAGTAAATTGTGATGTTTTTGTAAGGTGTGAATATATAACATTTTTCATGAAAATGGAATCGAAGTATGCCACAAAATTGCATTAATTACATTCCCTGTTGATGCATGATTATTTTTGTTACTGCAATTTAAATTAAAGAAAACTCGAATCAGTTAATATATTATCTGTTCTTCTTTATCAGCTGCGCTCGAAAAAGATTTGTGGGCAACAGGAACAGTTAATGAAGAGTATTTGAAGGCTTTGAATTCACTTTTTGGAAATTTCCCACGTTTGAGAGCAACAGAACCTGCCACACTGAGTATACCACATCTGGTCACTGCCCTCAAGACTGGTTCAGAGGCAACTCAAGAAGCAGCCCTGGATGCACTTTACTTTCTGAGGCATGCTTGGTCTGCTTGCCCAGCTGAAGTGTCTCGAGCCCAATCAATTGCTGCTGCTGATGCTATTCCTTTGTTGCAGTATTTGATACAGTCAGGGCCGCCCCGGTTTCAAGAGAAGGCAGAATTCCTTTTGCAGTGCTTGCCGGGGACATTGGTGGTCATTATCAAGCGAGGTAACAACATGAGACAGTCCGTTGGAAATCCTAGTGTTTATTGCAAGCTTACCCTCGGAAATACTCCACCTGTGCAAACCAAGGTATGAATAAATCAATAATTTGCCAGTTTACCCTCGGAAAGCCCAATACAGCTGGGGTTATGGTGGTAGTAATGATGTGTATGACATGCATGGTCTTTTCCCTTGTGTCAGGTTACATCAACTGGGCCTAACCCCGAATGGGATGAAAGCTTTGCCTGGTCCTTTGAAAGTCCTCCAAAAGGCCAAAAGCTTCACATCTCATGCAAGAACAAGAGCAAAATGGGAAAGGTAAAATGGAGTCATGATGCCCTTATTCTTCTCTCCTTAATTCAGATTCTAGTCTTCCTAACACCCAACTTGATTCTTAAATGCAATAAAATTCACAGAGCTCATTTGGAAAGGTAACGATCCAGATCGACCGAGTAGTGATGCTGGGTGCAGTTTCAGGGGAGTACACCTTGTTGCCCGAAAGCAAAAGTGGGCCTTCAAGGAACTTGGAGATAGAATTCCAGTGGTCCAACAAAACTGAACTGTAGAAAAGAATGTTTGGGAGGGAGGATTTCACCTATATTCTCTTGATTTCCATCACTTCCCCGCCAACTGTATATAGTTCTTCCCCTTTTTAGTATATTCTTTTGTGTCTTATTCATATCTACTCATTGCTTAGTTTTTTTTTGTGTGGTTATTCATATTCATTGTAAGTTGAATCACTTTTTTACCTTGTAATTTTCTTCTGGGTTATTATTTAATCAACTTCGAGTTCAAGGCAATATAACAAACTGTGGCCTGTTTAGTATACACCCCTGGTTTTCTGTGCATTCTTTCTTATTTTATCGGGGGGGGGGGGGGGGGGGGGGGGGGGTATATATTAGCAAACCACTAGTATATGCTCCAATTGTGAATGTTAATTAGACTGCATTTTTGCTGTAGCGTGATGTAGTTTGATCATGTGGCTTTGACTAACATTGGTCTTGCGATGTTTTTACTAAATTTTAGGTTAGTAAGACAGGTAAAGTAAACACACAGACTGCTAAAAAAAACTGTTTACTAATTGAAACAGGTGCTTAAAGTGATGCTTAAGCTGCCTTAAGCATATCACCCCCATATATTAATTAAGTGACACTTTAAGCTTTTTTCCAGTTTCTGAAATTACTCTTATCCTTACCTCTTGCCCTTACCCTCCACTGTTACTCCTATTCCCACCCCCTTACCCTACCCCTTACCCCTGCCGCTCCTACGGTCCTACCCCTAGCCCTATTTCCCACCCTGACCCCTACTCGTGGCCCCGTAGCCTTACCCCCGTTAAGGTAGGGTTAGGGGGTTAGGGGTGGGTAGAAGTAGGGTGTAGGACTGGAATCGTGGGTAGGGGTTATAGTAGGGGTAAGGGCGGGGCATAGATCTCACCATTTATTGATCTTGTTTCCGCTGTCACCGAGAAATGCCCTCCTTTTGGCATCGCAGAACCGAGACACATGGTTTTTGGTGGGAGGGTTAGGGACAGGGGTGTGGGAATCATACGGGGTGGTAGGGAGTTAGGGGTAAGGGGTAGACCCCCACATATTATATATATATACTTCAAATTTGTGTACATGAATCTTTGTGTGTCTATATATGCAAAAATTATTTTGGACAGTTTAATGTTAAACGTGTTTTAAACATTGTGAAGTAAACATGAATTTATATCACTGCTTATTTTATGCACTACTTATTAACGCAAAATTTTAATAAACACCGTTTAATAACTTGTGAAGTAACATGTCCTTAATATGACACATGAAAATGAATTGGGGTGGTTAGATTTGATGATGTTGCAATAAAACAATATCTTATTGCTAAAAAGTTTAATATACCAAACTTCCTCTAGATATATAAATTTTGCGCTTTACCCAAGTTAATTTTTTTGTTAAACCCCATGGTGTTATAATTAGTAATGTGCATAACTCTCTCAAAGAACATGTTGAAATAGAGCATATTAACTAAGAAATAATATTGGAGAGGAAATGATTTTCTGTGTATTTCATTGGAGGGTTAAGTCCCTATAAATATAGATTACAAAGATAGAATATTCCTATAAGATTCTATACAATAATAATATCCTAGAGTATATTCCTAAAATATTTTAAAGTATATTCTAAGGATAGAAGAATATTCTAAAGTATATTCTAATGTCTTTCACACTCCCCCTCAAGTTGGAGCATAGATATTTATCATGCCCAACTTGTTACATAAATAACCAACACGAATTCCATTTAATGCTTTAGTGAACAAATCTCCAAGTTGCTCTCCAGTCTTCACATATCCTGTAGAGATCAATCCTTGTTGTATCTTTTCTCGAACAAAGTGACAATCGACCTCAATATGTTTTGTTCTCTCATGAAACACTGGGTTGTTGGCAATGTGTATAGCAGCTTGGTTATCACACCAGAGTTTAGCAGGCATTGGTGTCTTCAATCCGATTTCACTCAGCAAATGGTTTATCCAGATTATCTCACATGCCGATTGTGCCATAGCCCGATATTCTGATTCAGCACTCGAACGAGAAACCACATTTTGCTTCTTACTTTTCCAAGAGACGAGATTACCACCAACAAAGACGCAATAGCCAGATGTGGATCTCCTATCATCTTTAGATCCAGCCCAATCAGCATCTGCAAAGCATTCTATTCTCATGTGATCATGATTTTGATAAACAATACCTCGTCCTGGTGTCCCCTTCAAGTAACATAATATATGCTCTACTGCATTCCAATGATCAACTGTCGGAGATGACATATATTGACTCACTACGCTCACAGAGTAAGCAATGTCTGGACGAGTGACTGCGAGATAGTTAAGCTTTCCAACCAATCTTTTGTACCTTTCTGGGTCTTCGAATGGTATGCCTTCTGAAGTGAGTTGCACATTGGGAACCATGGGAGTTGTGTTTGGCTTTGCTCCCAATTTCCCTGTTTCAGTTAGTAAATCAAGTACATATTTACGCTGAGATAGAAATATGCCTTTCTTACTCCGTGTTACCTCAATACCCAGAAAGTATTTCAATGAGCCTAGGTCTTTTGTTTGGAATTGGCTATGAAGAAAATTCTTAAGGGCCAAAATACCTGCGGTATCACTTCCTGTAATCACAATATCATCGACATACACCACAAGCAATGTGATACCTGCTTTCGTTTTTCTATAAAAGACAGAGTGATCTGATTGACCTTTTATCATTCCAAACCGTTCAATGGATTGACTGAATTTCCCAAACCATGCACGAGGACTCTGTTTCAGACCATAAAGAGATTTGCGAAGTCGACAAACTTTCCCATACTCCCCCTGAGCAACAAATCCCGGAGGTTGCTCCATATAAACTTCCTCCTGAAGGTCACCATGTAAGAATGCATTTTTAATGTCCAACTGGTGTAAGTGCCAATCATGAGTTGCAGCGAGTGAGATAAGTAACCTGACAGATGTTAATTTAGCAACAGGAGAAAAAGTGTCAGAATAATCAACACCATAGGTTTGAGCATAACCCTTTGCAACCAATCGAGCTTTCAATCGAGCAACAGATCCATCTGGATTAACCTTAACAACAAAGACACACTTACATCCAATAGACTTCTTCCCTGAAGGCAAGTATACCAAATCCCAAGTACCATTAAGATCCAAAGCATTCATTTCCTCTACCATGGCATGACGCCATTCAGGATGAGACAAAGCTTCTTTAACAGATTTGGGAACAGAAATAGAATCAATGGAAGCAACAAAAGAACATGAGGCAGGAGATAACTGACTGTATGACACAAATGAGGAAATAGGATGAGTACAAGACCGTGTACCTTTACGTAGTGCTATCGGGAGGTCAAGATCAGATGTAGAGACAAGATCTGAAGATGCAGGTACTCGTTCAGGACATGAGATCGAAGTCGGACCAGTATAAGGATATGTAATCACATGTGTCACAGGTGGGGAGTGATCTTGTGCTTTGTGTCGACGGGTGTAAACCAAGTGTACAGGAGGTCTAGGGTCAGGAACAGTGACATTCGACATAGTTACTGAAGGTGTGGTCTCAGGTATAGTAACTGTGTAAATGAGTATTTCATCGTTGTCCTCATGAATATCTGTCTTGGATGATGAAAATGGTGTATTTTCATGAAATGAGACATCAATAGAAATAAGATATCGACCTGTACTTGGACAAAAACATCTATACCCCTTTTGAACTCGAGAATAACCCAAGAAAATACATTTCAATGACTTGGGGTCCAATTTCGTCCGATGAGGGTTAACATCTCTAACAAAACAAGTGCAACCAAATATTTTAGGTGGAATAGGAAAAAGTTCTTTATTTGGAAAAAGACATTGATAAGGAGTTTTACCATCCAAAACAGAAGATGGCATACGATTGATCAAAAAACATGAAGTAGACACAGCGTCAGCCCAAAACTGTTTAGGCACATTCATTTGGAATAGAAGAGCCCTTGCAGTTTCTAACATATGTCGATTCTTTCTTTCAGCAACTCCATTTTGAGGAGGTGTGTCTACGCAATGAAGTTTGATGAATAATGCCATGTTGAAGCATAAAAGATTTAAATGGAGCAGATAAATATTCTTGGGCATTGTCTCCCCTTAACACACGAACAGGAACATTAAATTGAGTTTTAATTTCAGCACAAAATGCAGAGAAATGAGTAAATAACTCGGATCGGCGCTTCATAAAATACACCCATGTCATACGAGAATAATCGTCAACAAAAGTGACAAAATATTTGAAACCAGGTTTGGACACAACTGGACATGCCCCCAAACATCAGTATGGACAAGATCAAACGGAGCATTTGCTCGTTTATTAAGTCGGGGACTTAAACTAGTGCGATGATGTTTAGCAAACTCACACGACTCACATTGTATAGAAGACACTTTATTAAACTGAGGATATAATTGCTTCATTAGTGAGAGAGATGGATGTCCTAATCGGTAATGAGCTTCTAATAGATTTCCAACCCCAAGGCAAGAGATACCTTTTGTAATTGATGTATCCAAAATATAAAGACCACCCGACTCATGTCCTTGACCAATAGTATGCTTCGTTAACAGATCCTGAAACACACAATATCCCGGAAAAAATGTTACAGAACAATTAAGAGTACGTGTGATTTTACTGATGGAAAGCAGATTAAATGCAAAATTAGGAAGACTCAAAACAGACGATAATGGTAATGTAGAAGTTGGTACAACAGTACCAGATCCAAGAATGGGTGAGGTAAACCCGTCTGCTAAAGTGACACTGGAAGCAGGTAAATGTGAGTGAAATGATGAGAATAGACTAGGATTACCTGTCATATGATCTGTGGCACCTGAGTCAATGACCCATTTTGAGGATGATGAAACAAGACATGTGTTTGAAATACCTGAATTTGCGACTACCGAGATAGGGGTAGATGAATGCTTTAGAGATTCTTGATAGCAAATAAATTTAGCATACTCGTCTGAAGAAATAGCAATTGATCCATCAAATGAACTCGTAGCGGAAGCAACATGAGCAAGCTGATTTCCTTGATTTTTGAACAGCAACTTTCTACATTCTTTGAGCAAGTGTCCAGGCTTCTTGCAGTAATTGCATCTTTTTTCTCTGCCAAACTGAGTGGTACAAAACATTCTTTTTTTTTTTTGCAGTAGTAAGTTCAAAATTGAGATACTGCCATAAGCTGCAGCAGCCTTTCCCCGTTTGTGGGCTCAAAATTTGGAGAAGAGAATTTGGAGGAAAAAAAACTTACTCAACTTTTAAAATTGATGCGCTGACATATCGGTAGCAGTTCAAGGGGTGTCCACACATATCCGATGCTAGACACCAGCGAGGCAGCGACCAACCCACCTGGGGCGTCCACAGTATCCGATGCCAGACACTAGCGACCAACCACGAAGCTTCCTCCGGCCCACAGATCCCGTCCCTTGCTGGACAAAGAACGAGAGAAGTAAAGTATACCTGGCAGAGGACTTTCAGGCGAGTTTCAGACGAAGAGTTCCGATCAGATTCCGGCCAGAAACACGGCGTCACGCGCCGGCGCGTGAGTTGGCTGTGGAATCTTCCGGCGGCGCGTGTCACTCACGCGCAATGATTTTGGAGTGCGGACTTTGGGTGTTCGGTCGACAGTGGCAGGAGAACCAGAGGATGAGGGAGGTTGAACAGGGTTGTCGGATACCCAGTTGCTTCTGAGATCGAAGGTTCTGGCAAAAGCTTCTGGGAAGAGGTTCTGGGAATAATCGGAGGTTCTGAGATTGAACTAAGCTTCTGAATAGAGATTCTGTGTAAAGAGGTTCTGACTGGGTTGAGTTTCTTGTAGACAGAATGGTGCACAGAGGTTCTGAACTGAACTCAAGAGGTTCTGAACTGAACTCAAGTTCTTTGAGAAAGAACCGAGTGTGAAAAACTAAATTGAAATCTGAAAAACTAAATTGAAATGAAAGGCTCTGATACCATGTTGAAATAGAGCATATTAACTAAGAAATAATATTGGAGAGGAAAGGATTTTCTGTGTATTTCATTGGAGGGTTAAGTCCCTATAAATATAGATTACAAAGATAGAATATTCCTATAAGATTCTATACAATAATAATATCCTAGAGTATATTCCTAAAATATTCTAAAGTATATTCTAAGGATAGAATAATATTCTAAAGTATATTCTAAAGTATATTCTAATGTCTTTCACAGAACAAATTTAATTATAGAATAAAAGAAAAGTGATTAGAGTTTAACTATTTATGTACAATATAGAGTTTTTGAAAATTTTGCTTGCATGTCTCTACAAACTAATAAAGATGAATGAGTGTTAATACCCTTTTGGGCATGAAAAATTTCTTGGTGTAACTTTATTGATATATGAGGGTGTACCATGTGATTTAAGTATTGTACTAGGTTTGGACGGTTTAAGGAACAAACGTTTTACATCTTTCCGTTAGTACAACCTCTAAGTAATTCTATTACGTTACTAATTGTACCCTTCAATAGATTAAGCATAAGGGTTAATTGGCAGGGGTGCTGCACCAGACATGTTTCCCTTCATGCGTGTAAGTTATTCTTGTTACTTTCTTTTGATTAAATGTTACGAAGTATTACATAATTTTTTGGACATCATTCCCATTATGTTCAATCCTTGCAAAGATGAAATGGTGGGATTGGAGTGGTTGCTCAGGGCAACCTTATGAGATTCCAAAATCCAAACATTAATCTATTTTTATCCATCAAAATCAGTTTTAATTACAAAGGGCATGGTGCTTACCTTGATAAAAAAAACAATACTACCTTTGTCCCAATTTGTTTTGCTAAACCAATATTTTTTTGTCAACCAAATGTTAAAGTTAAGTCCTCTCTATTGATAAATAATTCAACTTTAACAATTAAAATTTACATATTGAGAAACTACATTGAAATTCAAATTTGCAACTCAACCAAGCATTCCAGCCCAGCTGGATGTGAGGTTACCGTGCTTAGTGGAAGGTCTCGAGTTTGAATCCCGCTAGGCACACAAGGGTTGGACACTCAATGGATTGAGTTTCAGCTCTAATTACTCCAGGCTCCCCCATCCCCCAGACCCCCCTGGAGTAAAAAAAAAACAGAGAAAAAAAGTCAAATTTGCAACTCAATTCAGAACGGAAGGAATATGATTGATTATGAATTAATGATATTTCCTTTCCTTCAGTTTAGTGAATCTTTAGGTTTGAGAAAAAAACTTATCTTGGAAAGTTAATGAATTTATGGTTGGTCACCTCTAATATAATCTAACTTGAAGCATAAAAAATAGATTAAAAGATGAATACGACGCTATTACTTTCTAGACATATAGACTCTTGCTCAAAGAGTGAAAAGTCCATTTTTGGGTGTAAGAGGCAATCATCAGATTTGTATCAACTCAAGATTTATTAAAGGTTATAACTATTAAAGGTTATAACTATTATATAAGTTGGAAGTCCTGTTATCATTTTCTACTAGCGAAAAAAGTAATTAAATATTTGGCATTGAGCTAATCGTGGAACACACATTAAGAAAATAGTGAGAAAACATATATAATTCATCCCCTTTTCAAATCTTTTTCATTTTAATGATGCAAGCGTAAATTATTTTTTCTTTCCTATTCAAATTTTCCATATGCTAATGTTGTCATGCTCGTATGATTTTTTAATTTTACCAGAGAACTTGGGTAATATAAATAATTTTCCATCTAACGTTAATTGATATTCAACCTTTTTAATCTTCTTTTGAAAGAAATGCTGGCTACCTTGTTAGCATCCTGGAGATTAAGTGCTTGTTTATTGGTGATTTTTAAATTTTTATGTAGCTTTTGAAGGCTTTGTGAGAGACACAAATAGAATATAAACAAATCAAGCTAGCATCTGTAACCAAAATTGCATATGTCCGTGCTTTTTAGACCAAGAACTCAATAACAACTTGAAGTGCGAGAAAAATTCCACATGGTTGATGCTAAGCTTGCAGAAGCAAGTTGGAAAATTTTAGTGCTTCACATGAAATGCACACCTTGAGGCCCATAAAAATGTCTTTAGGAGATACCGACCATCTTTCAAGAGATGATAATTTTTTTCTTTATTTACACTCTTTATGGGTACATCCGACCCCCCTACCCCACTGAAGGTGGGAGCCTTTGCGCCACTGGGTAATGATAATGATAATGATTTACACTCTTTATGGGGTACTAATCTTTATAGGGAGTTGCAAAGTAAAAAGAGTGAGCATTCCAACTAACACGAGAACCTCCATATGTATTGCAAAAATATGACTTTGAATATTAATGAGGTCACACAATCATTGGTCAACAAAGGGAGTGCAGGGTTTAAAATATGTGGTGTTGTTGATAACGTTATAGACAACTCGTGAAGCCCGGTTAAAAGCTCACACAAGACACACTTTTTGAAGGATAATTTTTTTGTTCAAAGTAAAATGCAATAACCTACAATTTTATACTACGTAGTACACAACATATACATTGGGCACCATCCCAATCGCGCAATGCGCGTTACACAAACTAGTTCACTAATAAATGGACTGCGCTTAGGTGGGGATTCCCACTCAAAATTTCAAGTGTTAAAGTCTTTGTACTTGTAACATCATTTATTTTTTGTACTTGTTTGGCTTGTCTTCTGTTTCTCTATCTTGTAACTTTCAAATTTTTATTACTAAAATTGGAAAGTGTTCCCTGACACCCCTACTGTACAGACCGTTACATTTATTTCAAGCATGGTTGTAATTATTTAAATTTTTCGTTTAAATTTAAGGGACTAGTCAAACGTAAAATTTAAATAATTATACCATACTTCAGTCCAAGCCTTTGCTAGTTCACTGGAAACTTGGAACTGGACCGAAATATGGTTTAATCATTTAAATTTGTACTACTATAGTCTATTTGAAATTTATTAATTATGTAATACCGTAGTATGAAAATTGATAATTTGTGTGGATTTTTGGAGGATGACCAAACTTTAATTTTCCCTTAAACACTTAGAAAAAGTGCATTGTTTTATATTGGTATGACATGGTATCGCCCCGTTTGAAAATGGTACCATACCGAACCATTACAATAGTCACGGTACGGGTACGGGTTCGACAAAATATTGGACCGGATCGTGCCCGCCCCTAGTTTCAAATAAACATTTTGAGGTTTTAAAAGAGTTAAGAAATGTGTTGGATTAACATAGAATGATACTTTAAGCTTGGTGTCCTTAACTATAAACCAAACTGAGACGATTTATTCTTTATAAATTGAGCTTTTGGTGAAATATATAATTTCTATGAAGTATGACCCAAGAAGCTACTTCGGTAAATCAGGGTATTAACAGTCACGTCTCACTCCACACAATTCCTCGTGTTAACGCCGTTGTGTCCCTCTCGGTCATGCACGTGCTTGGTTTTCTTGAGTGCTCTTGAAGCGTCGTCAGTGCTTCATAGAAGCGGCCTCACTTCACACTCATATAGGTGATATCATCAAATGTGTCCCGCGCTTAACACACCATCCATAAAATAGGCTAGCCTCACCCTAGAAATGAACTTTTAAAATAGGCTAGCAGAACAAATAGAAGACTTGTTATTGACCATATGAAACTGCTTCATGAGATCTCTAATCACACATATTGGGTTATAATTCCTATTTGTTATCAAGTGACGGTCCATTTACCTCAGTAAAACAAACATGAAATATAGGACCATCATTTTGGGACGGAGGTAGTATTAAATAAATGAATGTTTTATTATAATCTTAATAAAACTAATTTTATTATTTTTGGTGTTTTTTACAAATTAAAATGTGATTTTCCTATTAAGTTATAGTAAATGTAGAATATGAAGATACAATATAATTTAGTCCTATTTTAGGGAAGAAAAACAATATGATCATATCTGTGCATTTAGAGATTGATTTACTCCTATTTAAAGTTATTTTCCTTCTAATTTGATACATAATGAACTATATTTTATATCAATTTTTCACTAAATATTGGTTTGTTTTTTTTGGCGTACGTTGACCGGGTTGACCGTACCAATGACCCAATAATACTATCATTACTGATCCGGGTTGACCCTTGACTCAGTCATTTATCGGGTAAATATTTACTGGGTTATGAGTCAACCTGCCAAGAAAACCGGTCAATATTTAGTAAAAAAATAAACATCAAATATAGTTAATTATACTATCATAAATTTTTTTGGTAAAAAATTATTCTAATTCAAAATTTAATAATTCTTATAAGAATAAATAAAAAAGGAGCCAAAATAAGTGTCTCCTTTCCTTTTTCAGAAAGAAATATGTGGCTCACCATATCACTTTATTATACTCAAACCTTAACAACAACTTTTACTTTTTGAACCACTTTATTAGTACTCGTGCCAAGTCAAAGTGAGACACATAAAATGGGACAGAGGTAGTAGTTTTCAACATGTTCAAAATGTGTTTAGAATTGAATGGACATTATGTGAAAATAATATTAAGATTAATAATATTAATGGGTGTTTTAAATCTTTCACAAATACTCTGTATATATGAGTATAATATAATAATATCAATAAAAACACTCGTACTTTTTATTATAATCAAGAATTTATTTATGGTGAAATTCATACCAATAATCCGTACTTTCAGTGGTTCTACAATAATTATCTCTACTGAAAAAGTCAATACAAATAATCCAAACTCTTAAATGTGTCTATATAGATAGATTAAACTTTCATAGATAGATTATTAGCCTTCAAGAAAATAATTTTAGTAATGATATAAAAAATACTAAAGTCACATATAAAGCTCTATTTAAAAAAAAGAATACTAAACTCACAGGTATGACAATGATGAACAAAGTTAATATTGTATCCTTATATATTAAATATAAAAAAGATTAATCTAATCTGTCTATGTAGACATGTTTACGAGTATGAGTTATTTATATAGACATCTTCAATAGGGATTTTAATTGTAAAACTAAGGTATGAATTTCGCCTTTATTTATTTGGATGTGAAAATAATAGTGTGAAAAGTTTAAGTATAGATACATTTCCAGGTACATTGTTTCACAATGAACATGTAGTCGAGTTGGAAATTGGTCCTTGGGATCTCACCATCAGTCGAAGGTTTAAATATCAGTCCTTGGGATCTCACATTGGTCCGTATTAAATACTCCGTTCCATTTATATTGTCTTGTTTTACCTTTTCGGGAAGTCCTACATAAATTGTCCCATACTATATTTGGCAAAGTTTGTATAGCTCTAAATCATTCTTACTCCTTATATATTAAATATAAAAAAGATTAATCTAATCTGTCTATGTAGACATGTTTACGTGTATGAGTTATTTATATAGACATCTTCAGTAGGGATTTTAATTGTAAAACTAAGGTATGAATTTCGCCTTTATTTATTTGGATGTGAAAATAATAGTGTGAAAAGTTTAAGTATAGATACATTTCCAGGTACATTGTTTCACAATGAACATGTAGTCGAGTTGGAAATTGGTCCTTGGGATCTCACCATCAGTCGAAGGTTTAAATATCAGTCCTTGGGATCTCACATTGGTCCGTATTAAATACTCCGTTCCATTTATATTGTCTTGTTTTACCTTTTCGGGAAGTCCTACATAAATTGTCCCATACTATATTTGGCAAAGTTTGTATAGCTCTAAATCATTCTTACTTTATTCTTACTTTATCAATTAATATCAACCACACAAACTCACTTTTCTTAATAACCGTGTCACTCTCTTCCGTCCCAATATAAATGGGACGGAGGTAGTACTACTTAAAAAGGAAAAATAAAAAATAAATATACTCCGTATGAAAGAAAATGTGAAGGTGATCTGCTACTAAAGATAATCTAGGTATTTTGGCTCAATTGACTCTTTTTTAAGAGTAAATGGGTATAGATGAAGCTTTTTATAGGACGAGTTTAAATGATGGTTTTGCACTTGTAGAAGAGTTTATTTGATCATTTTTACTATATTAAATTATCATCTAATTTAATGGAGTGGCCAACTCCTTGGCTTCGGGCCCGGAACCGGCCCGGGTTTCCATCGGGTCCGGCCGGTCCCCGAGCTTTTTTTTTTTTTTTTTTTACTTTTCTAATTAACACCTGACCCCCACCCCCCCAAACCACCCAGCCCAACCCGGGAAAAACAAAAAAAAAATTGAAAAAACAAAAAAAGGCCTGAACCGGGCCCGACCGGGCCGGTTCCTAATTTTGATGACCCGAGCCCGCCGTGTATAACCTCCGGGCCGGGCCTACCCGGACCGGTCTCTGGTCGGGCCGGTTCCAAACAGTGTCGGGCCGGGCCACGGGCCGGTCGGCCCGGAACCGGTCCACCACTAGCGATGACTCCATTCTTCAATGTCATTAAACAATTTTTACACCCCAAATATCATTGCATCACTTTTAAGAGTCAATGGGTATTCAATAATTTACTTTACCTAATGTGAGTCGACTCAAATGGCGTTGTTGTATTTGAGTAATACAATGAGTAACTCTTAATAAAATATAGCATCAATGTGAGTACATCGAATAATTTTCAATAAAACATAACATTGTGATATCCCTCTTGTACAACGGGGTAATTCTCGATCAAAAATAATAATAATAATAATAATAATAATAATAATAACACCATTGTAAAATTATAGTACAATGGATAATTCTCAATACAATATATCATCATTGTATCTCTTTAGTACAATGGTATGACTCACCAAATACACTTTTTGCGTTTCGAAGGATTTTTTACAAAAATATTATTAAAATAAAATTTATTTACACAAGTATGACTATTAGTTATTACAATGTAGCATCACTGTAAGTTACGCTTAAAAAAGGAACATAAGTTACTATGATTTCATTACTACCCCTGTCACTAATCACATTTTTGTAAACAGTCTTCATTTATTTAATATGTAATTTTTTTTCGAATTTCATCTCAATCTTTGGACAATTATGTCAATGTCGGTCTCACATAGTTTGTTAATTTGTAACAAACTCACACTTTGAGAGTCAACATAGATTTCTATCAAATCAACCATATAAGAGTAATAAGACTTGTTGAGGTATATTATCCCAGCCTACTACTGTTTAAGGGTCCAAGATATTACCCCAATTCAGAGCCCGGATGGCGGAGGCCATTCTAAGCCTATTGGGCCTGTTTTGGCCTTTGGGCCCATTTTCGACTCATTTGGCCCATTAGGGTAGGTTTTACCCTACTCCCTTTCCCCTATAAATATGGGGCTTTCCCACATGTTTAGGGATCCTTTTTTCCTTGGCTTATTCTTCTTCCTTCTCTCTAGCTAGCTTACAATACTCCATGAATGGGAGCTCAATACCTTGTACCTTGTAATGGTGAGGAGAGATTAATGAGAATGAGAGGGCTTGGACGTTAACCTAAAAAGTCCCGTGGGTTTCTCCCTTTCGGGTTTCCACGTAAAAAGAGCTTGTTCATACACATTTATACATATATTTACTATATCGTGTTGGATTAAAGACTAAAACTTAATTGTCTTATATTCAACTCCATATAGCTCCACACTAAATGAATAATAAAAGATGTCACATATATTATTTGCATACACAGTTAATTTTCGAAATTCACCACATATTATTTAATACCCAATATAATATACTACGTATTTAAAAGCATTGCACACATGCACAACAATTATTATATTGTATCTCAGAATATCATACATAACATTACTATGAGCAAATGTAAAATTGTTCAAGTACCCCACATTTTGAATACTTTATATATAAAAGAGATTATTACGGAAATATTATCAAAACATAGAGGATTTCCCATAATATGACTAAATAATGAGATTTCTCATAATATGACAACAAATGTACAGTTACCATATAAATAGGAAGAGTAAAACACTTCCTATTAATACTCATGCACGTATTAATATGGGAAAAAAACTCAAGGACTCATATATTGGGAAATGATTGATGTTTTAGTCATATGCGAGATAATTTTCCTTACGAGAATATGCATACATTTTTCCGTGTCAGAATTTCTATGTTGATCAATATTGTCAAGCAACCAATATCATTTATTCTTTTCTGTATTCCAAAAGTTCTATAATGATACTTTTATGCTTTCATAAGAGTTTAATAAGAAACATTTAGAAAGTGAACTCAATTCATGCCTAGGAGAAAGGATCTAATTACACTTCGATGGTTGCAATATAGCCCTCAAGGTTTCTATTACCCTTGTATTTTCATTTAATGCTCATGAATAAAATAATTCTTAATTTCTCATTATTACAAATGATGAATAAATTTTGACCAGAAAATATCTAGTTGGGTAGTAGGTATTTGAGTGAACTTAGGAATGTATGCACTATTCATTATGCCTGTCCATAGCTTGGAAATCCGGTTTTGAACTATTCAAAATGGAACCACATCCTAATACAGAACTTTCGGTTGATCAAAACTGGAAACATACCTGAACTTGATCTCTGTCTACTCTACCCTTGGCACTAGCGGGGTTTGAGATGTTGGACTTTCTTGACAACTCTGGGGACGATATATATCAAGTTATCAACACATTCACATAATCACATATATGGAGTTGATTTACAGTAGTAAACAATACAATTCTTGCATTTAAATCTCTTTAGTAAAAATCTCACGCAGACTTGTTTTTCCAAATTTGGATTGGAGGATATAGCCCAGCTCCTCCAACCCACCCCAATCTTGAAATTCAACCTATGATGCACAAATCTTTAGAAAAGGAGGGTTCCCGATTTCAGAAACTCTAATGTAGATTTCAACTCATCATTTTTTTGCGGAGAATGAAGTCTTTGATGAACAATGGCAAGTGATAGAGGATTGCTGAAATTGTTGAATAGTGACCGGTTGAGAACCAAGCTGGGGGGTTCTTTTTAAGCACCACTGTCACAGTCCGTTTTGCAAACTCTTCAGTAGAGGTCGCCCATGGTACCTGGGAGAGGAGGGCTCTTCCTCTAATTGCCGCTTCAAATCTTTTGTAAAACTTCCATTCTGGCATCTGATCATCATACCTCGCAAGTGCTGAGTTTCCTACATTTGACTTAATTGCTCCAGGAACCACATTGATCACATCAATCCCCAAAGGCCGTAGTTCCAGTCTGCATTACAAAAAAATAAATAAAGTACAGATAGGAGCACATCTCATTTGCAAAAAACCAGCACAAAGAAAACTCGTCGATCGTGATATTATTTAAAAAATTAGAAACTTAAGATCTAGAAAATTATTTAAGGGTGAAGATGTGAAATGGTTTCAGAAAATATATTATTATTATAAGTATTATTATTATTATTATTCCATAGGTTTGTTAATATTTATTATATTCAAATTATGGATCATAACATGAACTCAAAAAAACATTAGCATTTTTTGGGTGTTCGACTTTTCAATTCAAATCACAGGTATAAACTATGATGCCTGATGAAGTGAAAACAAAATCCTTAAAAATTGCAACCGTAGATGGAAATTTCATGTATTGCTGAATTTCCCTACTAAAAGTCCCCACCCCCACCTCGCAATAAGTATCTTTTTAGGAGACAAATATTTTCTAAAACAGTTGCTTTTGAGGATTTAAAAGTAGAAGTTTACTTTTAACTACTTACCCACACGGTTTTCAATGTGTTCTTTTCACAAACAGCACTAATTGATTATGGGTATTTTAGATACTTTGAAGTTTGAACTCATTGCATAATATGTGTGCCGCTTCAAGATCGGTCTGGTTTTGGGTAACCATGGTGATAGTGATGTTCCAAAGTTCTTAGCTAGACATACTCTGTAAGTCTGTATACATTATTATTATACCTCAAGGTATCTGTTAAAGAATGTAGAGCAGCTTTGGATGAGCTATAAGCACCAGCCCATGCTCCAGAAACTAAAGCAATACAACTGCCTACATTAACAATCTTTCCCTCTTTCCTGGATGCCATGTGAGGAACCACAGCTTGAACTAACCTCATCGTCCCTACCCATTATAATAATAAGACAAGGTCATAACAAATCCATTTGAACCAAATCATAGATTCTATCCACTAAGGAAAGATAGCGCCATTTCGTTGCATCAAAATAAAACAATGAAAGATAGATGAGAAACAAAAGCAATTTGGTTCACTAGCAAACAACATGTCATTAAGGGCGAGTTTGGTTAAAGTTAATTGGCTGAAACAGTTAGATGTGATGAATTTTCTGAAAGAAGAGATTTTTGGTGTCATGGACTTCGACTAAATACCTAGGCACTAAGGGAGAATCTACTACTATACATTTCTACTTATAAGCCAAGTAAGCAGAATAAGCAGGTAATGACTATCAAGCAGAGTCTAAGAGCCTGCTTGATTAGAGTTATTTGTTTGAGATGGCTGAATCTGTTGGGTTTTAGAAAGAAAAAAAAAGGTCCTGAGGAAGACATCGTTTTTCAAGAGCTATTTATTCAGCTTGTAATCTGTATAAGTAGATTTCGATAGCTACTTATTCAGCTTATAAGCCATTAGGGCGTGTAAGCAGAATAAACCGATTATGTTTACTGTAAAGATCCTAAGAGCTCGTTTGGTCAGAGTTATTTGAGTGAAATGGACGAATCTATTGAATTTTCAAAAAGAAAAATAAAACCATTGGTAACCTTCATTTCCAAAAGCTACTTATTCAGCTCATAAGCCGAAAAAGAAAAATAAGCAATTCATGACTACCATACAGAGTCTAAGGGCCAGTTTGCTCAGAGTTATTTAACTGAAAAAGACGAATCTCTTCAGTTTTCTGGAAGAACAAATGATTAGTGACCTTCTTTCTAAATGAGGCTGGACCTCAACTCTTGGTTCTGAAAAACTGTTTTTATATAAAGACAGAAACTTGAAGTACAGAATCAGACCAAACCTGCTACATATATCACATTGGATGGACTAGAAAAACAGCTTACCAAACACATTGGTGTCGAAGGTGTGCTGAATGGTGGATAAAGGGATCTCAGCCAGCGGTCCAATGCTGAGCACTCCGGCGTTGTTCACGAGAACATCGATCCGGCCGAACTTCCGAAGAACGCCGGAGATAAGACGCGTCACAGACTGGTCGGACAGAACGTCGAGTTCATGAGGGTAGAACCGAGGGTCATTCTCAAAATCCCGCATTGCAGCGTGGGATCGAGCCGTTGGCACCACCAAGCAGTTCTTGGCGGCGAACTCACGAGCCATGGCGTGCCCTATGCCGCCGCTTGAACAGCCGGTTATCACAACCACCGCCTTGCCGGTGGGTTCCATCATAAAAATGAAGACAAACTCTCTTTCTTTCTGCCTCCCTCTGCTTCTATTCAAACCGGCTGGGTTGAGACTTGAGATGCAAGGTGGAGAGCAACAGCATTCTTTTGCACTTGTTTTTATCATTATGATAATTTATAATAATGCGGTCTAGGGAGAGGCAATGTAATAAACAGATTGGATTGATGTACATTTTGGTACTACCTATTTTTAGTTCGACAGCTAATGCCCAATGAATAGTAAAGATAACAATTAAAGGTATTCACCAATCATTCATACAAGTGTCATGTCACATTAATCCATATATTTTCCTATTTATCAATTTCATTTGTAAATTATATACTCCGTAGAACATACTCTCTCCTTCACTTAAATGTTTGCCTTTTTGACCCACACGTAGAATAATAAAGTAAAATCTGTGTGGTAGAAATTTGTGCAGAGGAGAGAGAAATAACATGTGTCACAAATTGATTGATTAAAAGAGAAAGTGACAAAGTTTTTGGAATAATCAAAAAAGGAAAGTTATCAAAGTTATAAGGGACGGAGGGAGTACTAAACTATTACACTTAAATTGGGCTACTATACTTATATTACTACGTATCTGAGAATTCTAAGAATCCGTTTGGTGAGTCATTTTCGGTTTATCAATCTTATCAGTTAACATTTTCACCAAACATGTAACTTTTGATTTCACCTGCTGAATTGTGTAATAATAAGAAAAAGTAAGGTTGAAATTATTTTTCAAGCAGTATTGGCTGAAGTTACTCTAGAAAATCGTTTTAACTATTTTTTCACATAATTTTTTCTTTATTTTATTAATAAAATATATTTTAATTATAATTTTTTTTTTCATAAATCAGCAGAATCAATCAATCCAGCCACTTCAACTAGAACTTCATAAATTTCAACAACATTAGGCAAAACAGACGATTGCGTATTACCAAAACGGACTCTAAAGTTGATTCCTATTTTTTAAAACTAATAATGGTAGTAAAGTACTATTGTTGAATCTGTGTCACATACCATTTTTCTCGGTCTTTTTCTAATGAATCTGTGTTTTCTCATTCAAGTGTTGAGGTTAGCAAGCCTATGAAACCTAAGCAAAAGGGTAAGGCTTCCAAACCTCATTGTGATGTGAATGATGGCAAGTCGAAAAAGAAAACATTTGAAGTTTCAACCTATACTGTTTGTGACAGTGTTTTCTTGACTTATCCCTTCAAGGTTTATTCTGTCAAACACCTGAAACGGTTATCAAGGGAGAAAATCTTTACTTCTCGAAAATTTGTTCCATCATTCACACGCGCTGAAAGTTCTCATACACCTGCAAATAATCTTCAATGGGTTCCTAAATCAGAGTCCCAGTCATATAGCTCTCTAAAAGCTTCAAAAGAGACTGATTTAGGAACAAAAATAAAACAAAATTTTCAAAATTTGTTTTGTGCTAAAAGGGATGGACCCTGAAATTGGTACAAAAGGTTTCTTAACCCTTGCAGGTCCGTCATGTGTGGTAACTGATACGATTGCTCCACACGCTCGGCGGGTATGAAGATGAGCTGTGAGCAATCAACTGGTGCACATTATGAATGGGAGTAATAATGTGTATACTCTCAACTGAGCTGAAAATCACAAATGCACGCCTCAAAACCAACTGATTGGTTTGAACTGGCAAGTGTACAAGTGCCGATATAGTAATAAATTCCGGTAAAATAACGGGTCGAATCCACAGGGAAACGTTGTTTAATTTAGTCCGAGAGTAGATGACTTTTAAATACGTAAATGAGTAAAGTGCAGGGATTTTGATTTGTGTTTTGTATTTTTGTCTTTTCACTTTAAATTCAAGGAAACAGCTTTAATTAATTCGGGTATAAAATGAATGATAACAACGCCTAAGGCTTCGGGAATCACTTAAATGCTTTAATAGGGTTGAATATTAATTCTTTACCAATAATCATGAATACGATGTCGCTAATATATTCTCAACTCCGGTTAAGGCAGCGAGAGCGTGGTTTTCGTTACGTGTAAGTCCCGTTACGGCTTACATTCATCTACCGAAAACCCCGTTGAATATCAAGATATCACACCTGTATCATATAATACCGGATATATTTCTATTCTCGGTAATATATATGTTTATCCTTTAATGTTCATAGTTTAGACTTCAACGTTAATTTCAGACCCGGCGGACACCAGTTCTTCACTGCGCGCAATGAAAGCTGAAAAATAGACCTAACCGGTGCCGGTTATAAGGCCAACCCGGCGCCGGTTAAGCTACTGGTTTGCCATTTATGTGCGAAAAACATCAGACCGGCGCAGGTTTGGTGAAATTTCGGCGTGTTTTGTCCTGGGATTTAGGGGATGTTCCGCTACGAATTTGGACATGATTTCTTCACCAAAGTTGTAGATACTGAAGTCTTCTATCCACTAAAACTTGAATGACGTGATTTTATTTAGCCAATCAAAAGATATGGATAAAACACTGAGAGGTATGCATCCTAAAATTCCACTAGCAACATCTGACTTTGTTGGTTGATTAAGTTTTGTTCCTTTCATATTTTGGCCATGACGTCTTCATAACATTTTGTACCTTATTGAGTTAGAATTCACATGAAACTCGAATCGAGTGATTTCGAGTTCTATAGAATAAGTTATACTCAAATTATGGGCAGAACGTCATTCTCTTGGTCCAAAAAGTCGTTCATCGCAATGTTTTATGCTCTAGCTCTCATTCTGGAGGTATATGCCTGATTTCTCTTCTTTTCTTCAACAAATACTTATAAATACTTATGTTAAACACAAGTAAATTTAACGGCTATCACCAACACACGCCAAGAACAAAGAACGAACAAGTGCATATTCTTAGGAGGAGTGTTTCTTTTTCACTCCTCCTGGTGCCAAACAACGAAGAAAGCACATTCCAAGGGGGAGTCTTCTACTTTACTACCCGGGTGAAAAACAAATAATGTGCAACTTTTGAGGGGGAGTTTCACATTTCTCCTCCTGGCGCCAGACAATGTAAAATGCAAGAATTCTCTCAAGGATGCAAATTTCGAGGGGGGGGGGGGGGTTCAAAGTTCTCCTCCCAAGTGCCAAACATTGTTGAATGCATCCTATTGAGTGCTCCAGTTGAAGGGGAGCACAGAGAGAAAAGAGAAAAGAGAAATGAGAGATACGTCACAATGCCTTAGTAAACCCAACTAAGCCTACCCAAGGGACAAAGCCGAGAGTGAGTGAGTGAACACTATGAGAGTGAGGAAGCAGAGGCTCATGTGAGCAAGAGAAAAATAATCAGTGACGAGTCTGCTACCTCAATTGCGCTATCATTTGAGAGAATTACTCTCAGTCACTCAAATACCCCGGACAATCCCCATAGGTTCAGGACTGAATTTATTCAGATCCCGGGTAGAAGTCGCTGCATTTTGTCCAGCAACACATGCACAAGCCTACCCTAGACCACTCACTTGTCTCCCAACAGACATGTGTTTAATCATATTCCACGAGGAACCTCATCTCTTATCATCGTCTCCTTCTGAGGCGAGTGATACTGATTACAGTGGCCCTCGGCCCCATGCCACTGGACTTTCATTGATCACGTCATTTCTAGTTATCTCACTCCCAAATGTTTTGAATTTTCTAGGACACAGACAATTTTAGAGTCAGTTGGAGGTCCTAATGATCCGCGAGAACTTCCATAGGGCTCATCTACTATAGATGAAGACTAATGATTGGAAGGAAGTCCTGCTGTTGCAACATAGAAATCACCAACATGTTGAGGCCATTGCTCTAGAGTTTATCTCTATAGTGATGACAACGGGTGTCTACACGGCCTCGGGGGGCTACCACTTTCTTTGCTGATCTTTATGGTCATGCCATAACAACTAGAGTGACAACTATTTCAGATGTTTCACAATGACTGGTTGGAAGTCATGTTAAAGTTTTAATGCTTCTATCATTTTATACAGGCCACCCACGTTAGTGTTTACATTGATGTTGTGATAACGGAACACCATGGTGTCTCCGGTGTTTACCTTTCTATTTTGTTTTTATATTTTGTTACCCAGAATAAAAGAATAAAGGCCTGACGCCTCGATTCATCGGATCATCATGAGGGGGAGAATGTTCCACATGCTGTTTACTTTCAACAAATCATTTGCGGACACTTCTCTCCTCCACCACAAAAATCAACGACGGCTCTATACTCTCTCAAATAATCGAAATGCCAAGTCAGCTTCACATCTATTGGTCAGCTAAACCCACAAGTCAACCATCATTCCGTTGTGCAACCGACATGTTCTCCTCAAAAGCATTCACTTCAAATAGTCGAAAAGACTACACTTTGGAGGAGACAAAGGTCAGATACTCAAGAACTGAAGATAAATCTCGTGTGCGTCTGAAACCTTTCAGAACATTCATTCTAAAGACACTATCCGGATTCTTTCAAGCTGATCAAGAGCAACTTCTGGAAGGTATGGACTACATGCAAGATACTGAAGATCCCTTAACACCCCGACATCAAAGAACAACTTGTCAAGAAGACATCAAAGGGGAGATTACAAGGATTTCTTCAAAAAACCTTCTTAAGAAGTCGAGTTCAACACGAAGACAAAGGAAGCTCAGCTGCACTGAAGATCAAGACAAAGGAGGAGCAACTCGACAGATTTTATCTACCCTCTCCTCTACATTGCCGAATCAACACAAAGACAAAGATATTTGCGCTGCATTGCTGATTAAACACGATTGAACACCAAGGGGGAGATTGTTAGGAATTTTTTGTGGTGTCCAATATAGTTAAATATCTTTGTATTTGTGTAGTTATTATTTAAATGTGTAATATGGGATTCGAATGTATTTCAGCCCATTGGACCTTTGTAAGCTATTATTAGACTAGCCTTATTAGGAAATATTGTAAAGTGTCACGCCCCAGACCGCAATCTAAGCGCGTGTACAACCGCTGTATAATCAAGTGACGTCACCCGCGAGCCAACCTCACTTAATCATACAAGGCGTTTGAGAAAACAATCCATCCATACTCAGTAGTAAACATTCATAACAACTTCACATTTAAACCAATGAATAGCGGAAATATTCAACGGTAAGTCATAGCCATAGCCGGCCAACAACATAGGCATG